GAAATTGAATACTTTTAATGCCTGGTTAGATGAACGTGGGCAAAGTGAAACCTGATGTAAGAAGACTGTTTGTACACCATGGAATGCTGTGCAACACACACCAGATGCAAGCAGGAGATAACAGGTATTTAGGGGTCAAGCTATAAGCCATCAAAAGTCAACACTCCATCAACATGCCCCAAACGCACTAAAAACAGAGGAGGCAAAGAACTGTAATTTATGGTCTAAAATAAAATTTGGATCAGTTTGAAGTAAAAGGAACTTTGTGTGAAGACTGACCCCTTGTTGTATGGCTATCTTGCTATCCGCACTTCAGCATAAGATGGTCCACAGAGAGGATAACCTATTTCCCAAACAAAACCTACAATATCTAGGCGTTGAACCTCCAATTATTTCTACCCTAACTTCTTTTTGGTTCACATTAGCCATTGAGTATGTGTGGTTCTGAGAAGAACCGGGGAATAACTCTCAGAACCACATATACTCAAAGAAGAGATAAATACATGGTGTTACCGCAATCTTTACTATAGATCTAGTTTCTTTCACCATGAAAACCTTTAAGTCTCACATTAGTCACTTGTGAATGCCTTTTTGGACATGTTGACGGCCCTTTACCATGTGACGTACTGACCGCTTTTACTATGATATCTAGTCACTGGGGTTGATATCATGCACTTGGCATTGCAGAGAAAATATATGGTCATCAAAACCTGGTTACCAGCTGAACTATAATGGAATAAATTTGCCTGTGACTGGTCCCCTGACAACTTTACTATGCTAATTTTAAACTTGCCACATTTAAATGTGTCTACTTAGGAACTAAATGTGGGTCTCATGCGTCTAACTCTGGCTACTTGAAATCATCCAGGTCATTGGCATTTGTGCCACATCTCATGCTGTACAGCCTGGCCCAGAAGGACATCAGCCAACTCCAGTCCTGCCAGAAGGAGGCTGTGGTGAGCACAAACCGATCCCATGTTCTCTGGTAACGGCCGCTCAGGTGGTACATCCGGCCCACCTGCAGGTTGGGGCAGTCGCACTGCCGGGGCTTGCAGGTCACAGTCAGCGTGACCTCCTTGCCAATGCGAGGCGTGTAGGGGGCCTGGCGGTCTACCGAGAACACCTTGAGGTGCACCCGCCGGTCGCGGCTGAAACGCTTTGCCGAGATCACTTTTCCTGACAAGACTGGGGGGGGATAAAGAAAGTAGACAACAATCAATCAATACTAGTTATGGGAACAACACGTATTGAAACACATATTGTGCAGACCAAGAACATCATGGGGACAACTTTTATCTCAACAGCTCATTCTCAACTTTCTCAACAAAGAAATTGTCCCTGAACACTGAAAAAACCTCAACAAAGATTCTGTGATTGGATTACAAACATAATTTGTAATCATTATAGGCTATTCCACTGCTCAACTTATTTCACCCACAGACACCATAGGTGTGTAAATGCGACTGAATTTTATGTTACGGTTCACTAGTGTGAAGATGTACATGTAGATTCTGAGGGGTGTTTCCACAATTTTCATGTGGGTTTTCCTCCCACCTCTAGAACTGAATTTTGTCTATTCTCTCTTGAAATTCTATTTATCTCCTCTGTCTTTAGGATTTTTAAGGGCTGATGCTGCAGTGCCTGTATACTTTTGAGAAACCCTTGGTTTCATTAAACTTTAAACTTTAAATCATTACTTCCTTCCTAATGGATGTTTTTCTGCACATACATGTACCAGACTTTTTGTGTCTTGGTGGAAATACAGCAGTAACTAATATTGTGGAACAAAGCTTTCGCTCAATTGTCGATGCTCAGAAACGCCCTGAACCCTCCCAAATCTAACATTGCATAATACACCAATGGCATATTCTTGATACTTTGCAACACATGACATGAGCGGGTCTCATGAATAGTAATAAATTGCTTGGCTGGGAATTTTGAATCTACCAAAATAAAAGAACCAATCATTCAGCTTCTATACAGAATATTTTTTCAAGTTTGTATTTCTTCTTTCTTTTTATAAGCTCAGTTTTTGCTCGACAAATCAGTATTTTTCTATATGCAAGGGTGTCTGCTTGACAACTCCACAGAAATGGAACCCAAGTCAAGCATGGAATATTTGGGAAATTTCTCTCGAGGCTCACCAAATTCGGCAGAGCACACAGTCCGGTTGTTAATGTCTCCACGAATCTGCTCCGTTGTGCAGACAGTCGGCTTACGGCGGCTACCCCGCCCTGCGAAGGGGACCACAGAGCGTGAGACCAGTCTGATGCAGGCTGAATCTCACCGGTCAGTACCAAGACCAGGCAGGCCAGCAAGGCAGCGGTGGTGAGGCTGGGGATGCAGGGTGACGGGGAGGCATTGCCTGGGGTTGATGAGGTGGTGGAGATGACAGCAGGGTCTGTGTTAGTGGTGGCTGTGAGTGAAGCGTCAAATGGATGTTATGAAGCCACAATGCTGTAGCTCTTCTTGCTGTAACACAGCATGGTGGGTTTGTTTAAAGTGATTAACGTGCAGATGGGGGGGGGATGGGACCAACGAACCCCTCCCACCAGCCAAACATCTTTTGAAAATCATGTGAGAAAGGCAAATTCTTTTTAGTCCAGTTCATTTCCCTTCCTACAAATATCGCGTAATAAGCCTCAAAATGAAGCCTCACCCCTAAGAAAGGCCTTAAAACGTTCCACAAAAAATTTCCAATTCTTTGGACCCCTCCAAAAATGCAAACAAGTTTGGCCCCCCATTCCCCCCAAATTCAGTTCTAGATCTGCCCTTGTAGTGATTTGAGATGAGATACATCTTCAGATGATTAGGTGCATGCACGGCCAATTGCTGTTTAAATGCACAAAGGGTGTGATTTTGCTTTACATTAAAGGCTTTATGTTAAAATTTGAATATGGCTTGGTGTGAATAAAAGGTCAAGTCTCCTTGGTGCTGGAAACAGACTTGTCCAGTTACGATTGATTGATGGAGTTAGAAATGAAAGTTAAAAACAATCAGCATGTTTGATTACTTCTCCCATGCTTACTCGTGAAGTAGTCATAGGTTTAGGAAGGCATGCTCATTCTGCAGCAAAAAATGAACAATCTCAGGTTACTGAGGTACCCAAACTGGGTCGGGGGGGGTGTCATGCAGTACTAAATTTGCCACATGAATTCAAAATGTCAAAGAATCAGGTATCCAAACACACGTCTGGCCTTTATTTCACCAAACTTTCTCAGCTTGAGCCGAACTGCCTCTACAAGCGACAGTGTTTCTGAGCTACATTGGCACCAACTTTTCTTTGCATCGTTAAACTAAGCAGCCTCATTTACGCATTGTTTTGTGGTATGGGTTGCTTACTGGGGCCAGGTCTGCGTAAGTGGGAGAAGTTACATGAGTGTCAAATTAAATGCAGTGATACTAGCACCAGTAAACATCGGGGAAGTAACTTAACGCGCCACACATGCCTCATGAGGTTGTCTATTCTAATCAGCAACTGCACATGAATTCTTATCTGAATACACATTTCTGTAAAACTTCATCAGAATACTGAAAAATTGACTTGTGTTTTGCCCTTTTTTTCAAACTCTCATTTCAACCAACAATATCTCATTTTGATACGTCATATTTGCCTGTAGCTGATATGACGCAGCTGTGTATCTGGAGTGTTTGTATGCATGAAATGGGCCAACTTTATTTTAAGAAATTAATTAATGTCAAAGAGGTAATTAATTGAAGCGACTGTCTTATACGCTTTTTTTTTCGTTTTTTGAGCCATGCGAAGCATCACATGCTTTTTTTGCCAAACAAGTAATCCTTTGATTTCTACCAGTTCCCATGATGGGAAAAATTCAAATACCATCTTTTGCTCCCCACTTATGTCTTTAGGAGTTGGCAAAATAATACAGGCATGCAGTGCAACAGGTTCATTCAATAGTTGGTTTCAACAAATAAATATTAAGCAAGGCCAATGCCTGCAGTATGCAGGCATCAGGCAATCACAAACAACCATATGTCTTTTGAACAATATAACACTCGGATCTACAAGTTGCACTGTTCATATCAAAGTTTGTTCTTTGTATGAAAGCCACTATGTTGACAACCTAAGGACTGGGCCAGAAGCCTTATGTACACTGCACTTTCAAGTAGATGTACTAAATGCAATTGTGAAGTTATAAAGAGCAATACTGGGCTGAATAAATACACGTGCCAAAGGGCAACCAGGTGTAAACATATCCAGTTGCCACAGATTGGTATTCCAGACTCATCAGATAAGCCTGCCTTGCTCTGTGGTTACATTGATGCTGAAAAATATGTGGCCAACCCCCCCCGTTGGTTAGGAATAACAGTCATTGACCAACAAGGGCTACCCAACAGATACAAATACCAAACCTGAACTTCCATTTTTTGTCTCCTTCCAGACAGCCCTCTTTTCACAAAAATCCAAATTTTCCCTTTTTTGACTGTAAGCAAAATGGCTTATGGGGGGTGCTCGTTTCACCTGTGAAAAATTCAGCAATATTGGGCGATGCCAATTTGCCACAGCCTGACAAACTCTTCACAAGACTTACGGGGGTCGCTGGGTGTAAAGTCAATGGTTGGCCCATTGACGTCCACCGTTTCCTTCTCTCCAAAACATTCTGAAGGATTTCCTCTCCTAGTATGAAAAAAAAAATTGGAGGAAAAACGCAACTAAGAGCAATACAATGGCAGTCAAAATACTTCAAACCCACCTCGGCAAAACATCTGACAGCAAAACCACAAAATCTAAAAAGAAGATGCAAACAAAATTATACAATGATGTCCTGCTGATCCTACCTTGATGGGTCTACAAGTTTGAAGACCTGTCCTCCGTTGTGAGTTGTACTGGCAAAGTTTGTTGCTAACATGTATACCTCACCTACAATTCAATACAAGAGAAATGAGAATTGCTTTTTAAGTCACTTACTACTTCCTGATGCACCATTGTAAAAACAAAGATTTAACTGAAACCGTCCCTTCCTCAAGGTTTGCACATTTTGTATTTACAATTATTTGTTCAACATGTTTCAAAATAGACTTTTAACAATGTGAATGAATACTTAAGGAAAAACAACCTAAAAACCTAACCAATGACAAAGCAAACACAAAACCAATCAAAAACTGTCATACATCTACACTACAAATGTATGTCACGACAAGAGAAAATGGATTCTTACAACATGAACATGATAAAGGAAGATTTATGTGTGTCTGATGGGACACGTACCTGCCTCATCTTCACCAAAAGATAAGATGTTCTTGGGGTAGGAATTGACCAAATTGCCCAGGCAGATAGAGGAATCACCCATGCAGATCTCCTGGCTGTCCCAAGCATCGGTGACATTGTTCTCGATAAGGTAGAAGAGACGGCTGGAGAGAGCACGAACAAACATCAAATTCTTAACAACTACATTCAAAGACCAACCGTGACTTACATGTACTAGCAAGTCAAATCACAAGTCACATCGTACGTCAGGTCATTAACATTGAAGTCAACGCAAGACAAACAATGGCAAGGAATGGCTTTGCAGCAGTTCCTTCAAACACACTGTCTCTTAATTTAAGACGGACGGACGGACTCATGACTGGAATATACATGTAAGTGACTTATGATGACCTGGTTGAAGCAAGTCCCAAGCTACATTTTTTTTGGTGGTAATATACTAGACATCACAACATTAAATCTTTCTCACACCAACACAACACACTGAAGGTCTGCTTTTATTGCATGATTAGCATACTCTTGGAAGTCTTTAAACACTAATTTTATACTACTTTATGAGTATAAATTAGTATTCATTAACAAAGAAGAGTTCATACTGTTTGGTGTTTGTTCAAAGACTTCAAGACCGTGCAAAAAACCACGCAACAAAAGTAGACTAGCATATTTTGTTAGTGTGAAGAAAGTGTTAAAGCTGTGATATCCTATACTTCAAAGCAGCCAAAATGCATGGACTTACCCATTAACCCTAACCCCCAAGGGTTGCTGGCCGTAACCTTCCCCATTCACACAAAGTTAAACACCCATATGGGACTTTGTGCAAAGAGGCTGTTGGACTTAGTTTTTCTGAGGTATGCCAAACCCAATGCAAAAGCCAGCTGTCTGGGCCTACCAGACCCATCCCCACAGAATTAAACACTTTACTACTGTTTAATTATACGTGGTTTGGGAAGGTTAGGGTTAAAGCATATATGCAAAATACAGAGTAATGTGTCATGCGACAACGACTACTGGAATGAAAACACACCAACTTACCCACTGACATAGTCCCCAAAGATATATTTGTCGTTGAGATTGGGTGACTGGCAACCTCTGTACACATAACCCCCAGTCACTGATTTCCCCACTGAGTGTGGGTAAGCATGAATTGGTAGAATCTCATCGGCTGTAAAATTATAACAACAGAGTTCATATTCTTTACTTGAACAACTCTAACTTTTGCATATGATGTCAATTCTTTCAATTCTTCCAATCTATAGGATAAGAAAGATTCAAACAATCCTCTTCACAATCGTGACTACTACAAGTCGCATTTGCTATGATGACTCTTTTTATACCGTTGCGTTTTACAGGAGGATAAAAAAAACAGTTAACGCAATCATTGTCAGGAGACTTTCTTTAAGTGACTCTAACTAAAGAGATTTGTTCAAGTCTTAAGTGCCCTTGACATGACACGGGAATGTCCTCTATATAGGAGACTTAAATAAATTTGAACATTTTGGCATTGACCATTTCCTGATTCAGTAGGTCCTGCCTGACGGTCCTACACAAGCGTACTTGTTCTTCAATAATGAATCGCATTGGTCACATTCAAAACTCATTATCACTTAAGTTTGCAGGAAGTTCATTTCATCCTTTGCTGGCAACAACCTTTTAAAAAACAAATCCCACATTTATTTTCATAGAATTTGTTAGGTAGGACTTTCAAAAGCTGGGGAGATTCCGTAACACTTTGTGATTTTTTTAACTGGTGGTTGGCCACAGTGTTGCCAGTTGTGGCTAGGCAAAAACATGCAACAGCAAGATGGGTCAAGCACTATGAACAATTTTAAGAACCTCAGATTTCCTAACAAGTGCTGAGAAAAATTGATGTAATCTGCTGCTACAGAGTATCTACTCACCCAACCATTCGTCATTACACTGTGCGTCGTTGTAGCAGACAAACCCTTCCCTAGCCCGCCAACCGTAGTTACCCCCTTTGACGATGATATCGATCTCCTCAAACTGTGACTGGCCCACATCGCCACAAATGATGCGCCCCTTGCCATAGCCTGTCTCCCGGTCGCCCCGGTCAATCGAACACCTCCAAATGTTGCGGATGCCATAGGCATAGTTCTCGGGCCGGGCGTCCTCCTCACCAACGAACGGGTTGTCTGGCGGAATGCCGTAGGTCTTGTTGGCGGGTGGGTTGTCGACATCGATGCGGATTATTTTGCCCAGGAGAGTATTCCTGCATGACACAAAAAAGAGGGTGCACAGATGCCAGTGAAATGTTCGATTCTGGTGGCTCCTAAAGCATGGAGGCAAGTTCAATCATCAAGGACCACAGTTAACCATACACTGTAGTTTGACTAACTTTGACTGAATGCACTCTACTCGACTAATCTAGTCGACTATTCCTGACCAGCCTATCGAAGTTGGTCGCATCGTTGGTTGCCATAAACCGTTTTAAAAGCACAACGCAGAGAGGACCAGTTATAAGAAAAATGCTGGAAAACAGTATGTCACGAGTAAACAACCATTTTCTCTTTAATTTTTGCTATTTTGCCATTCCTGCAGCCACTGTTTCTCACCTTCGGCCTAATGATGGTTGACTAGGGTCGTTCACACTTCAACCTCACCGCACATGTGCCAGGTATGTCACAAACCAACCACTATTTAACTAGTGGTCCTTGATCCAGCTTACTCATAAATGTTTACAATGTACAGTAACATATATGGGCATTTCACACTTGTAGGAATTCACAATATGAGAGTACCACTAAGAAGTGACTCTGGACAGCCAATATTTGATTATGCAAAACCTTATGTTACGGCAAAAAAGCTGGCAGAGGCACCAAACAGTGTTAGTTCTGAACAAGGATCCGAGACATTCCTGAAATAAAAAAAAAATTCCGAAATCAAATCTTAACACCACAAGTCTTAGCCAAATTTCCTGAAGCAGCTGGACAGAAAATATTGACAATGAAATGTGACTGCTGAGCAAGACTCAGCCAAGAGCCAGCCATCAGCAATAAAGACTAGCGTAATGTACTACATGACATTTCAACTGGTAACACGTTTTTTGTTTAGCACATGCATGAACACATTTTCAGTACTCAGCAAATAACTGTAAATACATCTTTACGAAAAAGCTCCATGACACCAGCTTGACTGACTTACTTATTCAGTCCACTGTCCAGCGGATCACCTCCTGCTCCTCCATCACCAATACTGGCATACAAGTAGCCATCAAGCCCAAACATTAACTGACCACCGTTGTGGTTGGCATATGGCTCGCCAACCTCCAGGATCACCTTTTCGGACTGGACGTCAATTTTGTTCATGTCCTCCGGCATGACCGTGAATTCGCTGATGCGGATGATTTGGTCACTGGAGCTCCCCGAGCTGTAGTACACATAAAACTTGGAATTGAGAGTGAAGTTAGGATGGAAGGCTGCGCCCAGTAATCCCCGCTCGTCTCCCCTCCGACTGGACGTCAAAACCGAGTCCCGGATGTCAAGGAAGGGTTCTGCCAACCGGGTCTTATTCTCCAGAAACACGTGGATGATCCCGATCTGCTCCGCGATGAAGAATCGGTGCGTATTGTCGTTGGCATGGATCGCGAGGAGAGGGTTCTGAAGGCCGTTGGCAAACTCCTCAAGACATAGGCACTGGCCACGACCGGTGCCGGACTGAGCCTCCTCCACCCACTGAGACAGATCGTCACTGGCAAGCACGTCAGGAAAGCAATAATCGATGTCCGGGATGGCCATCTTGTCACAGAAGACTGCCGCTGAGTTGGTGGCTGCCCGACGCAGAGGCTCCTCTGTCGTAATGAAGGGAAGGAGCTGGCTGCAGGAGCTGTGGAAAGCGGTGCAGTAACCGTTACAGAGTCCGGGCAGCTGCCGTGACCTCTGCTGCGTGGTCTCTGCATCATAGAGATGGGCTGCGTACGGCGAACACTCCTGGCATAGAATGTCTTTCAGGAAGTCCAGACAATCCGACGACAACTTCCCGTGCACTCTCTCATACTCCTCAGCAACTTCTTCATACTTCTGTTGAATCTCTAGGTCCTTAGCTCTCGTACAGCATCCAAATCTATTGTACAGTGTGCAGAACTCGGGCCTCTGGTCTGCATCATGGTCAAATGGTGGAAAGAAATCCAGGCACTGTGGGTGTGCAATGCAAATCTGGATCGTTGAAAGACAAGCAGCCGCAATAAAAGAACTAACCAATGCTGCCCGGAATGATGAAACTGACCAACTGCTCAAAGCTGCCATAATCATTGTAACGAGATAAGCTACACTGAACCTGAAGATTTGGTCCAGACTTGCCAGCAAAGCCCACTGACGCGACGTACAGATATACAGTACATGTGTGGCCTCAACAGGTGTAATACAGCAAAGCACGGTAATGTGACTCGTGTGTCTTGCCTATTGTTTAAAGAGTGTTTAATCAACGTTTATTAAGTTGACCGAGGCCAGGGGTCTACATGAAGGTGCATCTAGCGAAAGAAAGCACGGTCATGCATCATGACAGCATGGGCGGTTTCCTTTTTGCGGTTAGGCTGAGGTCTTTGAGTGATGACTTCACAATGTAACGTTAGTCAAGCCTACACATGTACAACTCATTACACCCAAGCAGCTTACGAAATGAAATGCAGTTTCAGAACAATGTAAGCCAGCCTTGGAAAAAGGTCAAGCAAAAACAAGTTCATGAAGTTCAATAAGTGCCACTGCTAGACTTGACTCAAGTCGGGATCGAGCTAGACTGTGATCAAGACCGCGCGCCGCGCGGTTACTTGCTTCGCGCCCTCTTGTGTCCACTCATTACAATAAGTTCAGTTCATAAAATCGCGACTTGACGAATCTGCCAACCGTTTTTTGCACTACGAAAGCCCATTAGTGCCATGGCAAGTATGTGTTATTAATTCGTTATTACCGGTTATTAATTCGTTAATACGGATAAGTAATTCGTTATTTTCACAAATGGGTCATTAGGTAGACATTTTGAGGTAAATTTATGGGTCATTAGGGAGACATTTGTGGTAAATTTTTCAACTTTAGGGAGACATCGGTCATTAGGGAGACATTTCAATGTGATGTATGTAATTGATGATTTAAATATATAGCCTATTGCGTGTTTTCACTGCGTGTTGGATGACAAATACGGAAATAATTATGCCCGCCATTTTTTAAGCAAAGTGCTGATTACGATTAAGATGAAACAGCCACATTGGTATTCTACCTTTCAGTAAAAATAAAATCTCTGTCTTTTCGGAAAAACTTTGAACACAAGGCATATATTGAAGATCACCAAAAACAATATATGTAAATTTCTACACACTTTTGTCTTCCCCTCAAATACCGTTTGAATAGGAACAGTTATCATTATGATTAACTGCTTTCCGCATTGTTACGATGAGTAAGATAATTTTCTCAGTGAATTAATAGTTGCAGCAATGACATTAGGTGATCTCTGTATGCTTTGAATTAGCTAAATTAAATAATTTAAAGCACTTGCCGCTGTTTTTAAGGAAAACAGTCACAATGAAGATGTATGGTTGAACTGGACAATGCCTATATTTTTGACAAGTTTATAACATAGGTTTGTAAAAGAAATTTATGTTCTCAAAATTAACTTTAATCTATGTTTTACTGATTTGAAATCTTTGAAACATACCCTAATTTTATTATGAGAAACCATTTACAGTAAAATTGCTCTTTACGTGATACTTGTACAACTCAGATCATCAATGATTTTTGAATGCAACGAAAGAAAAAAATGCATGTATCTTTCAATGGTACGATAAAATTCAGTCTTTGATACCTATTGGGGGTAAAACCAAAGGACCTAGCTAACGATTGAAGGCATGTAGAAACTTAATAAACAGTGGTTAACATTGCTTTTATCAACAGCCACTCTATATTAGCAATAATATATTTGCAAAAATAAACCACAAAATTAAAGATTTTGGATCACAAAACCTGCAACAAGTAAGGTACATTCTTTTCCTTTGGCGATGTCCTACATGATATCCTTTGATAATCTATATAACGTCCATCACCCAGACCCCACTTTGTAAGATTTCGTTAAATTCACGTCGCAAATCAACAAAACTTTCGTATGTTGAGGGCACCTCCAACACATTTCCAAATGAGTGACTGATGGGTCTTTTTTTCTAAACCTATCAATTGAGTAAATGTCACATTGATAAAATTATCATTATTATTTTTATTATTTATTCAGAACAGATACTGTTAGGACAATATTCAACAAACATAAAAATCAATGGATCAAAAATTAAACAAAAGGACATTTCAAATAACAAGAACAATCCACTCCAAGTTGGCCAGGATTGACAAAAGTATACTTAAACACTATGACCCGAAAGCAAATTAATAATCCATAATAACGAATTAATAATAATTACCGAAAATGGGTCACTTGGGAGACATTCCCAACATGCACAAACATTACTGTCCCACAATTAAATATTCCCTAATCTGATCTGAACCAAACTTTGCATGTTTTCAATTTCGACCCTAATCTATACTCTCAAAATTTGGACGGTAAAATTCGGCCTCCTTCTGGTAGCTGGGGCAACTAATGACCGATGTCTCCCTAAAGTCGAAAAATTTACAAGAAAATGTCTCCCTAATGACTCATTTGTAAGAATAATCCGTAATTGCGAATTAAATAATCCGTAATAACGAATTACTAATCCGTTATAACGAAATAAATAATCCGTAATTACGAATTAGTAAACCGTAATAACGAATGAATAATCCGTAATAACGAATTATGAACACATACTTGCCATGGCACTAATGGGCTTTCGTAGTGCACAGCGAATGGGCTCATATACCAAAAAAATTAATGTGGTAGCAGCCAATCACAGTACCGGACTTGTTTTTACGTCGTTCATGTTAACTGTATTTGTAATCAGGGCCCTTAAGAATAGCAGTGTTAAACTGAGAGGGCTACCCTGTTGAAATAAAAATAATAATAATAATATTCCGTATAAATATAAATTCCCTATACATTATGCAAGATTATGTCGTTCATATGCAACGTGGGCGGGTGTTGGCAGAACACAATGCACGAAATCTGTCGACCCTTTCCAAAAGTGCATGGGGTCGACAGATTTCGTGCGTTGTGATTGGCCAACGCGTTGCAAACTCTTGGAGACGCGCGCGCTATATATTGTGAATTGCCTGTATAGGGTGTGTTCGATTAGTTTCCCTGAACACACCAGTGTTACACTCAAGGGAAGCCTCAAAATGAGGCTTATCGAACGCTGCAGAGTGTTTTCCAAGGCATTCTGGGAAAAAGGTCAAGTCCCCGCCTCGTCCATCATGTACGTCCATGCTCGAACAGTCCATCCGTGACGTCATTACACTCGGGCAGCCTCCAGAGACCCGCTCGCCAGCTGGGGTAGTGGTGGCTGACACCAGTACAGGCACGAACATCAGGTGATGGCTAAACGAACGCTCTGTATAAGTTTGACTTACACATGTAAGCTAATCGAACGCACCCATTGTGAATAACTACATGTCAATGATTGGTGTCCGATTGGCTTATCCACCAAATTGGACTGGTGACGTAGATGAGGGCGCCTTATAAAAATATGGTTGCAGGCCAGTAAGTAAACTGCCGTAGCCAACAGTGATAAATACCCGAAGTTCCAAATAGCAGGAAAATTTTGAGTTTGAGACGCACGTCAAACTAAAGCCCGTTTAGTGATTTTTCATTTTCTTTTCAAATTTCCATTCATTAACCCATGAATGGAAATTTGACTTCTGAAGATATTTATTTCCACGGAAGGTCACCCCTAAAATGCAGCCTTGAAGCTCCGCGCCATATTGGAAATATCGATGCCTACTCTGCTCGAAAAATAGACCGTTTTCAGGCACCGATTTCTTCAGACGCAACTTGAAGCTGGTATTCTCTTTGCCCACCTAAACCTGTCTTTTCTACAAATCTTCAAATTCACCACAAAATGCTTCATTTCGTACAGAAGTTGAGTGCACACAATCTATGATTTGGCCTGCGCAAGCAAATTTCGGCCTTTTTACTATCCTGCATCCATTAGTAAACCCTAGTTTTACAATTTCCCGGAAAATGTGTAAAACAGAGAGGAAAGAGGTTACAATATTGGTTTGAGGTGAAAAATTGGAAAAGGTTATCTCTCATCAAGGTTATGGGCCTGTGACCTTGAGTGAGGCTGATAGTGCATGCGTAGCGGTGTAATTTGGCCATTAGGCCGCTAACGTCTGTGAATTTCCAACTTTTTCAACTGCTGGAAATAATCGCTGCCAACTAGGGTTAATTTTGTAATTTGAAAAAAAAGCAATTTCATCTATAATTATATTTTTTAGATGAAAAAAATAAAAGATTCCTCATTAAAAAATACACATGCATGAGAAAAGATACTTCTGAGCGGTTACTCAACTTGGGTGAATGCCAGTACTATCAAAGCGAAGCGCTGGAGGTCCGTCATATGTACGTGATTACCATTACTCCGCCCGACTGTGCCACCCCTGGATCTGTTACTTCTGAACCATAAACGATCACTACTGCTTTTATATTGAGATCACTTAGAAGAAATGAAATCCGAACACGGTTGGGATCCCTTTTATTGTCGAAAATGTAGGAAACTAGTATTATAAATGAGGAAATTAAGATTATAAATGAAGTAAATCAGCATCAATCATTTTAGCTCATTGTATTCAAACCTAGAAAATTGCCTTGTGGGTTCTGCGCCCACGGAAATAAAAAAAAAATGTGGTGAGGGAAAAATCCAAAAGTTATGGGGGTTGTTGACCAGGCATTCAGGTGCACGGACTCCTGAAATTCGTAAGGAATCGCAGTTACTGGCTTCCATAATGGACTCTTCTGGGGTCTCGGGGTTCCCGGCCCACCACACTTCCTCCCTGCCCATCCATTTAACCCTTAAAAAGGGTTGAGCGACCATACAAGGGAGGAAACGAAACAAGCCCCTGCCAATGTCTCGAACCTGTAATATGGCGCTCACCTGGACTTCGCGGACAGCCCTAGGAGAAGCGCTTACCCGGTTAGCTAAGGTACTGTTGGTACTTCAGGATGGTAAATCAACTGCTTTATAGTTGGGATGCAGAATTAAAAACCTAAAAAAAAATAAAAAAAAATAAAAAAAAAAATACGGCATTGGGACTCGAACTCGAGAACTACATCTTTCAACCCCTAGCTTATTCACTCGGCCACTCATGAGAGGGCAAAAGTGTTTATACACTGCAAATATACGGAGCGTAACACCATGCATGGAAAATTTGCATAATTCCCTTGTCACAGTTGAAGAAGCTTTGGCTTCACGATGAGCCAATTTTTGTCGAGACGTCTGAAGAATAAAGTATTAGGTCTGGATCTGGATAGATAATTGAAAATCTCCAATTGAAACATCACTCAATTCACGTTAGAAGTCATAATGGCGTCTTATTTAATAAAACAGCTTTTCTATCATTCTTCTGAAAGTTAACTGGATTTTGAACTGTTTTGATGTTATATGGCAGTTGATTCCAGTTCCTGGCTGTTGTTTGGAAGAATGATTGCTGAAGGCACTTATTTCTTGTTGAAGGAACTGTTAATGATAGAGGGTTGTTTGATCTTGATTCCCTAGTGTTGACATCCCTTACATTGAACTTCAGGTGGTCTTCAAGTAGCACATCTACGTTGTCGTGGACCATTTGTTAATAGTCGTCTCTGACAAAGTGCTGGGGGTTGAAGGTTTTGAACATGGCTGTAACTAAACTTTCTCTGCTATAATCATCGGTGATGAAGCGAGTTGCCTGTCTCTGCACTGCCTCCCATCCACTTTCTTTATGTTGCATTTGAGGATCCCACTCTGAGCTACACTCAGATGTATAGAGATTCGCAGAAATCCTACCAATTATACAATAAATTATATAAACATGATTGAATACGGTAAAGTGTTAGCATTCTACTCCGCGTTCACAAAGTGTTCCCAGATAGGGCTTACTTGTTGAGTTCTATTCGATGGGGTTGGCTATTAAGAACAAGGGAACATAATGGGAATGAAATTAAATTGCCGTATGCGAATAAAGCAATCACAATTATCGGAACACTGCAGTATATCAGGGATTTTGCCGGACCTTTCAATTTATAAATTACGGAGCCAAAGCACTCCTTCATTAAGAAACTTTGTATGTATTTTGGAAGAAAGCTTTTCGAATTGTAAGTAGCAACAGATGAATTCTGAATATATGTATTTCCACGGGAGGTCACCCCTAAAATGAAGTCCTAAAGCCCCTCGCCATTTTGAAATATCAATGCCTACATTTCTCAAAAAATATACCGTTTTCAGGCACCGATTTCTTCCAAATCTCACTTAGACGCATTCTCTTTGCCCGCCCAAACCTGTCTTTTCTACGAATCTTGAAGTTCATGGGCCACAAAATGTTCTATTTCGTAGAGAAGTTGAGTGCATTACAAATTGTGATTTGGCCTGCGCGAGCAGTTTTCGGCCCATTTACTGGCCTGCATCCTGATGCGAACTGCCGGGCCGAGCGCGACGACCGTGTAGTAGTGCTTACAGGCTGAAAGATGGCTGACTTGCGAAGAGCAACGTAAGCACGACATGATTCAAGTCTAAATAGGTGCGCGCCAACTTCACATACGCATGACATCACGTTGCCGAGTCACAGCGCCCTCACTCATCACAAAAGAGGGAAAGTGCTCTTTCTCTTCAATTTCCACGCACAAAGGGCGGGGCCGCCGGACCAAATGTTTGGGAAACCTCAGGGTTATCATGATTAGGCTACATTAATAGATTAAAGGTGTAGATCGTTTGTTTATATTCTTGAATACTTATAATAGTTAATGCCGAAATAAGGAGAATCAGCAAGGTTGGACAAGCTATTTCAAGGTAGGACAAGTTATCTCCAAACATGCTCAGTAAGTTCAGCTGTTTCAATGAACTTCAAATTGTGCGAAGGAAAAAAAGTAAAAGGTAATCTAAATTCCATTGCAGAACCAACACTGGTGAACGAGTCATTGGGCATAGGCATATATATGAAGTATACCAATTCTTTGCTTTAACTAAAAATGTGCTACTGTGCTGAGCTTTCAGAATTAAAAACTTCACAGCAAAGGCGCACGTTCAAATAGAATGAGCCAGTTCAGTATTTCAACAGCGCATGCTCATTACGTGCCCGTCCTTACAGGTTGCACGAGTTACACAAAATACGCGCCCATAGAAAAACAGTGCAAAATCGGACCGCGATAGCGCCGCCTGTTGACTCTCGTGAAGAGGTTGGCCTCCGTTTTTTGCACTGGAAATTCAAGATTATGGCCAGAAGATCACTTTTCGTTTCAATTTCAAGGGGGTTAGCCACGAATTTTTTTTAATTAGCCTTTGAACGAAGATACATCCAAAATAACAATAAACTAAGCGCTCATTTCTGAATGTCACCGCCTGCCTCTATCCAAAATAGGTCCGCAATTTTGGGCTTTTTGTAAAAGAAATACCCTGAACTGGAGACTATCAGTCCTAAATTCGAGATTTATAGAAATATTTCTATGATGACTCCTGATTATGACATGTCTTATTGTAAAATCCCCGTGGGATCACAAAATATTAATGAGCTCGCGCGCAGAAATACAACCATTTGGTGGAATGCACCCATCGGCGTGGCCGGCCATAAACCGACTCACATGCGAACTTTGTTCCAGAAAGACCTCGGCTTTTTGAAATACCAAAGTGGTTCATTCAAGATGAACGATCACTAAATGGACAAGAGAAATCAAACGTAGTTAACGACGGAAATAAATATGTGGTTGGCCAGTCTGAAGACTGGCTCAGGAGAATGGACGTGACTAATGCTCAGGCGAGGGCATTATCAGTGTTCATGCTCCTGAGGCGATCTTAAACACACGAGTTTAAGACCGATCCAGCACATTATTTATTCCCATTGTAAATACAGTTTTAGTCAGAAAGTCAAAGCAAGTCAGTACACTATCAATTTGGAAGGATTTTTTCAAGAATTTTACTTTCATTTTCCCCATTAAAATCGTCCATTTTATCGTATAGTCTTTGTGCGAGAAATCCAGAAGAATCACCTTATATGGACTTGGCGTGCGTTGCAAGTTCTTCGTGCCGCAGCACACACAGACTCCTGACCAATAGGAATGAACTAAACTGTCTCACGATGTGCTAGCGCATTTTTATGCTTTGTTAAGTTGCAGCGGGCATTATCAAATGTTAATACATATACAAGGTCATGTTGCAAGTTGTTGAGTAGGGTCTGAGGTATTTATGAATGTTGAGTATAAGATAATTTGCTTCTGATATTCGGTAGTCGGTACATGTACCATCCGCTACTACATGCATGCACCACCCTCAATTCCTATGTCCATCTTTATGACCCTGTAAAATGTTTTTTACCATTAGATATGACCTTTAATTTACTTGAAAGGGAACATGGAAAAAAATTGTCTTGAACCAAGACTATAAAGAGGAAATAGTTCAAATGCAAATTTAACTTTAAAACAACCTTTCCAAATGTGTATTGTACCATAAATGTAGAATCTATATTACTAAGCGGCATTTTAGAGCTGAATTTTGGTAGATTTTAAAAACTTTAAATTTTATTTCAAAGGTTTCACAAATTACAAAAACCCCTAAAACACTGTAACAGAAGCACAGATTTAAAGTGATTCAGCCTTGATCTAGGTATTCAGCTTTCCTCTTTGATCCAGAGGCATCTGAGCAAGTAGACCAAGTATGGGTGTCAGGTTCTTGACATGAAGTTACAGTGTCTGGTGGGAAGTCACAGCCAGGCCCCGTCACCTGTCGCACGCTGACATTGATGCGGGTGCTGGACATGAAGGTGGCAAACCGTTCCCAGGCTTGAGGGTCCTGCAGTGCCTGGGTTGTCTCGTGAATCACGTGTGACCGGCCCATCTTGGGCCGTGCGTCTCACAGGTGAGACCGCCTAACTTAAAACTGCCTCTGAGAGCACTGACGGTGTCATTCTCTGTACCAAATCCTTGGCTTAATTCGTGCAGTTCTGAAGCCTGAATCTCTTTGTGCACACTGCCTTCTTTGCTTGTTATTTCTTGATCACACTGTCTTGGCACTACACCTGCATGTCCAGAGAATGCAGGCCTCTGATCTGATTTGTGATCCTTGCTGCATGCTGAAAAGACTTTGGAAACTAATGTTTCACCATTGCTGTTTGGAGTACTCCATTTTACTCCTGACATGTGCTTGCAGCTACTTCCCAGAATGTCAGGGGTCTCCACTTGGTCCAGACAAGCAGGGAGCTTCTTTGAACCTTCTGCCATGAGAATCCTTGGGACAGCATGGTAGGCTAGGCGTGATTGGCCGCCCATAATGATGATGTCACCACTGTGCAGATACATGGCCAATGGGGAAATTTCTTTCGTCCTGCCACCAAGCAGAAAGATTGCTGATTGGCCAAAACTAAGTAAAATGAAAAACAGATGGTGAAAAAGAAAAGATAACACAACTCAAATCATTTTACTCACACATGACACTTGATTTCCCAGTCTCCTACTAAGAGATGACATTCAGAAAGAGTTTGATTTCTCTCAAAATGCTGGCTAGCATGACTCCAGAACAGAATAAAAGATGAAGACCAATCTGAAAGTGAGACAATAAAGTTAGGTTGCCTTTTTTGGCCCCCATCATAAACTGCATAAGAAACTAGAAAAAAGGAAACTCCTATGCTAAATGCTCCAATTGACAGAAGACAAATGACTAAAACATGATTTGGAAAGTGAAAATGCAGATATTTAAGTGTCACATTGTTGGCAATAGAGAGCACAGCTCACCTGTAGGAAATGATGGGAGCACTGAGATCAAACTCAGAATGGTCCGTGTGTCCTCCAAGGGTGGAGTCACCATGGTAGTAGTTCACAATGGCAGCCTGGGATTGGAAGGTTGAGAACCCCATGACGGCCGCGACAAAGGCAGAGAGGTCGGCCAAGTCACAGGGGAAGGGTGTGTGTTGGTTCCAATGGTACACCTTGGCGGTCCAGTCATAGTGGTAGCCCAGGGTGACCCATCGCAGGTGATCCATCAGAGTTTTTTTCCTGGAATTGAATGGAATGTTTGCATTTGTTTCTGAAAAAAAAATCCTGTTGCAAGTTAATATTATAAGGCGGAATTAAAAAAAATCTTTGTGTTTAGCATACAACTTCCTTTTTGCAGGCTGCCTGGATTTATTTTATATTTACCTGAGGGAAAGATTAAGTGAAAAAGCAAGAAAGTCACCCAATCTGTCAGTTTCAGAACTTATCTCTTTACACTGTATTGGCCACTTTCCACTCTATAGCCATGTTATTTGGCTAGGTCTGAAAACTGAACTTCAGCAGGAAATTGCACATGAGCCCAAGGAAGTGGCTGCATGTTTGAGCTCTTGCACAACTGTGCAACGCATGTAATATTCTATTCATATACAAACAACTATGCTATAAGAAAATCTCTTTTGTAACTTGTGTCTTTGAAAAAGAAATGGCTGCCGTCTTAACAAAAAAAGTAAACCAGCCCTAACTCCTCCTTTTCCCGCTGAAACCCAGGCATCAAAAATGAATCCTTTTGCTTTTCTATTTTGTCTTACCAGAAAATTACTGATTTTTATGGCCTGTCGAGCTTAAAATTCTAGCCTAGTATATGTATAAGATTTTGGCTCCCCAGAAAAACATGACAGCACAAGTGACTTCTGATCCCCTTTGGAATCTCTGTTCTTATTTCCCATTCTCCAGAGCAAATGAAATGCTTACTTTGATTGGATGGATCCATCACCATCCCACAGTGAGGTGTCTCCACGATTGGGATGGTGATTGTCCAGATTGCAAACACTGGGCTTGTTTGGGTAGTCCTGAAGACATCGCTTGATCCAGTACCGTTGGTAGCCAGGATGGAATGGATTTTCAATGTAAACAAACCCTTCAAGATAACACAAATAATCACATCAACAGATGATCTCGAAATGTATGAAAAATATCATTTATGACTCAGTTGGCAATATATTCTCTAATGCTGATCAATCAAAACTTGTTCATTATCTGGTTGCAATTCCAGAGTTGGGCTTCCCAAACCAGGTCTTCTCCAAATGACATCATAGTAATAGCCCCCTCAGTTGGCCGGGAGAGTGTGGACAATTTTGAACGTTTTGAAAACAAGCATGCAACTTGGACTTTGAAAAAAACAAGGAAATGTGAATCTCTACAAGACTTTGTTCAGTGTTTTTCAATTATCAGTAGCATGAGTGTAAAGTGAAAACAAGGAAATCAACCGACCGGAGGAAAAGTTGCATGCCTGTAAAGAGAGTACTTTAAAAAACATTTAACCTCCAAGGAACGTCAAGTAATTCTCATACATTAAATAAGTGCACAATTGCAGAAAAAAGTGCAAGGGAAAATTTCTTTAGTGCTATCCTTTAAAAGTTTTTTCTCTCTCTTGTGGGACTTAATACAAAAAATGCATGTGACCCCCGAATGAGAGGGGGGCAGGAAAGCAGTTTCCACTCTGAAAACCACCCCAATTGGGGTATTTCCAGTTATGCCGCATCCAAACTAATAAAGCTTACTACTTTACTGAGAATTTTTTAGGGGACTTTGAGTGTGGGAAGGAGGGGCAAAGGATATATGAATTTTTATTTTTCAGGCTAATGTGGCTCTCGATGATTTTTGTCTTGTATATTATATTAATATGAGCCAAGGTATCTGCCATTCAAAGGCACCAATGCAGTATCATTATCCAGGATACTGGGCTTGTAACATCTGATCATGCCATCTCAGCTCCCTGGGGAGTACATAAGCCTGATACTGCCAAATAAGATGCCAATGGCTAAACTTGACGACATTATCTGCTCATGCAGGGATAAAGTGCCTTGCCCAAGGTCACAAAATGTAACCACATGCCTGGATCCGAACCCCGGACCCTGTGATCAGAAGGTGCAAACCCACATGTCCCCACTGAGACAAAGGAGAAAATCTCAGCGCTTTGTCCATTTTGTTTTCATGAGATGATAGGACTTTCTCATGTTTTCTGTGATGGCAACTGCATACAAGCCATCCTGACATGCTGTATGTACCTGGAGCACCTTCAAGCATGAAACATCTCCACTGGCCAACTGGCTTCAGCCCAAGATTCCTGGATGACATGGTGGCACAGTCTTGGCATGTCACTTTGGGATGAAACCGGGATACCTATGGTTCAGAAGTAAAGTGCATTGACAACACGTAATAAAACTGATGAAAACTCTGTAATCATTTCAGTGTACACGTACATGTACACAAGAAACTGTTATGAGGATAAGCACACCCCTCTTGTAAGAAAAATCCTCTACATTGCGCAAAAAATGTACAACTTCAATCTTCATTTCATGTATAAGTAAAATGTAAGCACTGTCTACCAGACGGAAAGGTTGCCTCAAAGGCTATTGAAAATTAAATCCATGAAAAAAAAGATGCAGTTTTTGCTGACCACTGGTTTGAAGACTATGAAAAAGATTTTCCACAGCTTCTAAAACTAAACTACCCCAAAAAATAGTAAAAGTACCTCCCCGCAAATGAATATTTTCAGAAAAAAGTTGTTTTCAATCAAGGCAATCTTTTGGACACCTCTCCTGTTATAACATTAGAAAACTGACCCTCTTCAACTGCCAAAAATCTTGAGAATATTTCACTGTTTCTTCTGTAGGCCTACTCTAATATTTACAGATATGATCCTTCACAAACTGATTGAAGCAGGGCTGATGTGAAACAATAAAGCTTCAAAGGCTGTCAGAAGTGTGCTATGTATGTAGTTGATAAACTGAGTAAAACAAAAAGTAGAAGTGTCCAAAAAAAGGATTACGTAAATCAAGAGGGGTTTCTGCAAACTTTGTCTTGTGGTAATGTTTGCATTGAGCAGTTTCTTTGTTCGCATTGGTTTTTTACAATGCCACATCATGACTGACACAGGAAAGCACACTCTCAAGCATTGTGGCTTAGATTCTGTGGCAGATTATGAATTCAAAGAGGCTTTAAAGTTAAACCACAGCACATATTATGAATGACCAGCATTGATGGGCCACTTAGGCAGTAACTCTAATGAATTAAATGTGAAAATCTGTCTGATCATAATCGGAATTTGAGACTTTTGGGGGTTCCATCACATGCATGGCCTGGGATATGTTTTAGTGACTATGGCATGTATGGTGTCATAGCTTGGTCTATAAAAGACAAGCATCACAAGGGTCGTCATCCTGGCAGCCTACATTTTGTAGTCCTTAATCTTTTTTGCCCTGAAATCACATCAAACATAAATTTGGGTAATGTAGGCATGGTAAACTACAATCTCTTTGAACATGTACATGTATGTCTAGATTATTCACTGCACTGTATTACCATGGATCAAACAAGACAAGTCCCAGTTTTTCTAATTTTGATGCATTCATCTTGTTCGTGATGGGGCCTCTGCTGAGGCAACTTTTTTGGCTGCCCACTCAAAATGAGTAAGCAAATAAATAAAAAAATCCTCATGATACGGGGGAGGGGAGGTCGTGAATGTTAACTTAAGGCAGTGGATATTTACAAATGTAGCTGTCGCCAGCAAATTTGATTACATGATATCTTGCCGGGCACATGCACAGTAAGTTTTTTTCTGAAACATTCTTACAATGAAACATCTTGGTCTGGTTCCATGCCAATACAGATGTTGTGACTTTGTACATACATGTATATGTATTCACAGGGTGGGTATCACAATTTCTGACTCCTT